TCCAATATCTAGAGGTATGCCTGACCCATTCTGGGAACTCCCTGATAGTTGCTGAACTAGACTGAAATATAGCAATAACTCCTCTAAGAACACTTATTTCACGAAATGCAGTTATTGAACTTTCAATGTGTTTATTTTCAGCAGGCACTAGAGTGATTGAGTGCATAAAATTGTCCTTCTCGGTTCTTCTGATTTCTCTTTTATTAATCTAGTCCAGTCTTTGAATTTTGGAAAGCATGGAGCTTAAAATGCAGTCTTTTATTTTTCTTATGCCTAGTATTGGGCCATGAGAAATGGCATCTAGTCATTGTGATAATGGTTATCTCATGGGCTCATCCTAAGAGCTGAGAAAAAATCGTGTTGTTGAGGGGGACTCTATGCCAGTATAGCCCAACCAGTATAAAAACTGTTGTTAGTTAAGAGATTTCTTATCACCTAACTGCCATTTTGGACTAGAGGGGCTCTGCCTTAGGGAGTGAGCACTGATTTCCTAGAAAAGAATTTGCCCTCTGCCATTGGGGACAATGCCCTGTGTTAAATGCTTTCTCTCTTTATAGCTATTTTTTCAAGTCTCTCCATAGACAGTTGACTGTGAAACCCACCCACTTCTGTGGGAAGGCACTGCATGATAGAAGGGAGGAAAATGCATTTGGTCAGAGGGCTGAGTCCAGTTCTAGCTCATTTGCCTTAAAGGAATCTGATGGATTATCATAAGTGCTGGTTCTAAGTGAGAAGTGTTCATTAATACATGAAACATCTAGGAATAAGACACACTTCACAGAGCATGGCAAGTGGAGAAATCTCCAAATACGAAATGGAAACTCCTCTCCCAGCAGAGTTCATGTCTCTGTCGTCTGGGTATTAGATTAACTTCTAAGAATGCTACAAATATAATATTTCACTTTTAGTCCGTACTGTTGTCCCAGCAGAAGCTTTTGTGATGGATGCATGCCTGGCAGTGATTGTTTAGCCAGGTGGCTGGTAACTTTTAATTTGAGGCATATATTAGGAATGTGCCTCCAGGAGTGGTCTTATACTACTAATCTTCTGGTTAATCAATCACCCCAAATTTAAATGGCAAAACTTGCTTTCATTTTTCTCTTCTAGTGAGTTAGAAACAGATTTAGATTTATACATTGAAGGGAAGATCTGTTATACCTGTTTCAGTTGTTTTGTTGGGTAAATCTCTGCCAGGATGTTGTGTTTATAGCCTTTTACTCAATTATATTAATTCTTACTCTTGTTTTATTGTTTCTTTAGACTTTGGAATAACAGTCACTTATTTTTCATTAAGCCTTGATAACTGCCTTCTGGTTGTTTCAGGCTGCTTGGTTCATGTAGCTCTAACAGATTTGAAACAGATCTAATGAAGCAATAGTAGCCTGAAGTATGCTTTTTTGATTAACATGTTTCTATTTTCACATCTCTGGGGCAAAAAAAAAAAATCAGTAGTTAAAATTTTTCTCTTTCTCCCCACCTCTGACAAGACACAGAATGCAGCATGAATAGGTTTAATGCTGACTTTGGAAAAACCTGAAATGAAGTGGGTAGTGACCAAAAACTGGTGGATGTGTATTTAAGAGAACTTGTAACAGTTATGTCTACTTCGTGGAGGAGGGAGGAAAGACAGACAGACAGACAGACACACACACACACACCCTCTCTCTGTCGCTCTCTCTCACTTGCTCTCTCTCTCATCTGATATGAAAGGTTAAGTGCCAGAGAGCCTGCCAGGGTGTGACTCCTGCTCCTCAAGATGCGTGATGCGAGCCTGCATTGTCATTCGTCTCTGTTGTCAGGGACAGATTCCTGGGTTGGTGTGTCAAAATTTTATTTTTACCTTTTATTGACAGTGAAAACAGCAAAGTAATCAGTCTCTTTCAGTATGATTAAATACTTTCTTCTAAAACACCTCCATACCAAGATGAACACACTTGGCTCAATGACTTTTGCTCTTACAAAAAAAAAAAAAAAAAATATATTGGAACACAGGAGCTTTGCCTGGTTTCTTAGGTAACTTGGTAGATTATAATCTGGTTGCTATAGCAACGCAACAGCAGGCAAAAATTACAGGAACTAAACATTTGAAAAGAAGTATTTTAGTAGGATGCTTGAAAGCCCTTTTCCTATCTTTTCCCCTGGAGAAGTGGACGTGTCCCTTCCGCCCTACCATACTCCCCGGCCCCCATCAAAGAGGGAAGCACTGTGGATTCTGTCCACTCTCTGAATTGTGGTGTGGTGTCACTCACCACTAAGGAGCCATTACATAGACTTTCGTGCACATGATAAGCAGATATTGTGACAATTTGGAACACACCCTAGGTCAGAAATCCCTCTTCCCTGGGACTTTTTCACAATACCAGTGACTTGTATTTTCAAAGACCCTTCAGGACACTTTGATAATTATGAGTGTGGTGGAAGAGGGTATATGAATTTGGAATTGTCAGAGAATATCTGGGCGACAGTTTAGTGTCTGTTGATTTGATTTTTTTTTTTTAAAGATTTATTGATTGATTGATTGATTGATACATACAAGCACTGGGTACAGTCAGAAGCGCGGGAGGGTGAGAGAATTCACCAGAGCCAGAGCGGGGAGCAGAGCAGGCAGAAGGACCGAAGTACACTGCTGAGGGGAGCAGCGGGCGGCAGGAGAGGTCTGCGAGCCATGTGGGACCCTCCTCCAGTGGCCGGGGAGCAGCCGGGGATCGAACTGGCGCTGCAGAGGCTGCAGGCAGCTTCACAACCCAGCTCTCAAACGCTGCGCCACGGGGGAGGCCCTGATTTGATTTTTTCCCCCCCTAACTAATTCTATATATATTGGCCTTTCCCTAGAGGTCTAAGTATAAAGCAGATGGTTTCTGCTCTATTACGGTGTTGTCAAAATTGGTCTAAGGACTTTTAGAAATGACATGGACACTTTATTGAAACATTTTTCATTGTACTTGAGCAGTGTTTTATATTTATGTAAAAATAAAGTTGAAACTATTTTCGTTTTGGGAGTGACTTTAAGAGCTCAACTTCAAGCAAGCAATTGAAAGGTTTTAATCACCCTATAAAGATTTGAAGGGATTTCCTTTTGAGTTTTTAAAATGGCATGATGTATTTACATTGGTGAGACTTTGACTACTGAAGGCCGAAAGATTATTGACATAGTTACTGTACAGAAAAGTAAACTGCCTTGAAATAGCCAATAATTCAACATAAGGAGAAGCACCAGGGAGGTAGTATGAACTGCTTTTACCTAAATGACCCTGCCTTCTCCAGTAAATGTATTTCCTAACTAAAAAAAAAAGTTAATATCTCTTGTGGTGAATTATTAGAAGCAGCAACATACAAGGATATTGAAGGTTTAGTTTTTACAGGTGGAATGACTTTGATCTCGGTAGTTTTCCAAAACAAAAATTATGGTACACAGACTACCATATTTTTTTTTAAATTACATATTTTGAAAGCCTAATTTCTAAGGTGAAATAATTATAATGGTTTTCTGCATTTTAGGTTTTTGTTCATTCAGTAAAAATAGCTACCAAGCTCTTAATTCCGTGCCAGGCACAGTTTTGAGCACTTTTACTCTTACAGAGCCCAGATTGAAAAAGGAAAGACAGACACTAAAATAATTGCTTAATTAGTAATTGCAATTGTAAATTATAGGAAGGAGAAGTAGGATTGTATTATTTTTTCCTTGTTAACATAGCGAGACCCCTCTATCTTGAGGGTCAAATGCCACTTTCAATCTGGTGAGATGAATAGGCTTTAGCTGGTGAGGGAATAAGATAGGTGATTGGCAAAGAATAACATTACAGAAAGAGCTTTACAGGCAAGGAACAGTATATGGGAAGGTTCAAGACAGAGGTTTTTGCTGAGAGCTATAAGATGAATGTGACACTGACAACTTGCCAATTTCTAGAAATAAACAGTAATTATTTAATAGTGTTAACCTTACACATGATTTTTAACTATAGTTCTTAAGCTTGGATTGCATCATTTAAATTGTGTTTAGATGTAAATTAGTGATTTTTTTCATTTATTATGTAAAGGAGGAACTGTATTAAATTAGAATTAAAACTGACTCTTGGAAGAATGTTACCATGCCACTGCCATGCAATGTCTGGTGTTTTGGAAACTGTCTTCTAAATTAAATATTTATGTTACTATAACTAAAGCACTGGCATTCAGGTAATAGATTTAAAAATTTGAGTGTTTGCTGGAAGCTGTTTATACTATTATTATTTATTTTATACTGTTCATTATCATTTCCAGAGCCTACACACAGGTACATTGGAGAACACTTGAGAACAGTGTGTAACAGGGTTAGGTCAGACTCTCATTTCTCTATGCAACTTTATAGTTTATAAGTATGTATAAATTTATACTTTATTTTTTTTAAAGATTTATTTATTTATGCATACAGAGCTGGGGTACAGGCCAGAGGTGTAGGGGGTGAGAGGATCCACCAGAGACAGAGTGGGGAAAAGAACAGGCAGATCGAGTGAAATACACTGCTGAGGGGAGCAGTGGCTGAGGCAGGAGAAGTCTGCTGCGCCATGTGGGTTTCTCCCTGGCCAACCGGGGATCGAACTCGTGCTGCAGAGGCTGTGGATTGCTTCAGAATGTGGTGCTTCACCCCTTGTGCCACCAGGGAGGTCTTAAGTTTATGCTTTATAGGTATAGTTTCTAAGTATAGTTTTTGTATAAATTTGTGAAAGAAAAAAAGGAATTGTGCAAAATAAAAAAAGTTAAAAAAATGAGTTTTTTAAAATTTATGTAGCATTATAGCAACACAGGAAAATTCAGTTCCCTAAATTCAAATCATGTACTTTCTTCCCCTCCTCCTGTATGCTCTCCCCTCCAAAATTTGAACTAGGTCTAAGATAGATCCTAAGTTTTATGGTTCCACAAGAAGTATGTGCCATATACTTCCCGTCTAGTACATAAATTTAGGCAAGAAGAGAAATCCCAGCTGTCTAGTATTAAATTGAAATTAATGTGTTATTTTGCAGGTTATTCTCGTTCAAGTTAATCCAGGTGAGACTTTTACAATAAGAGCAGAGGATGGAACACTTCAGTGCATTCAAGGTAAGGAAGTATTTTGTAAGCCTTTTAATTAATTAATGGAATTTACCTTTATTTATAATTTTAAGAAAGTAAAGTTTTCCTTTGTTTCTGCATGTGATTTTCTAAAAGCAAAATATGTCTTGGATTTTGGCCTATTTTTCCTCCTTTGTGTCAGATAGGAGCTTTTTAATGCTTATGTAGGCCTGTGACCAAAGTTAGGTACTTCTAGTATTCTGTTAAATTTTAAGCGATTTAATTTAATATGGGAAAGCTTACAATGTTTTCATACATTATGGAATTTGGTAGCCCTGAAAAATGCAGAGATTTTAAAAGACCCTGAAGTTCCAATTGAGAACAGCAAGTACTTTTTCTAATTAGGTAAAAATTTCAAATATGTAATGATAGTATTAGCAGTAAGATCTATATTAAGTATCTACTGGATATTTATTGCTGAATAAGAAATTACTCCAAAATTTAGTGCCTTAAAACGACATTTGTTATCTCAATTTCTGTTGGCATCGCTTCTTGGCCTTTTGGCTAAGATCAAGTGTCAATTTCTGTGGGCCAGGAATTGGAACACTACTTAGCTGGGTCCTGTTTAGACAACCTAGGTAAAAGAAATTGCAAGCCTGTAGGGTGAGTTTTCTGATGTCTTATTTGAACAGGTGGTCTAAAATTTGAAATAGCAGTTTGGCCCACCACACTGACCATGAGGCACAATGCTAGACAAAAAAGCATTAGATCCTGACCAAAGATTATCTCACAATTTCCGGGAGGGAGAAGGCTAAGAGCCCACGTGTCCATGTGCGTAATTGGAATGTAGCCCATCTGCGCATGCCTGCGTGTAGCCCACCCCAGAACAAACTTATTAATATGATGCAGCTCTCCTCCCCACCTTTTGACTTGCCCTCCTCTTCACTCCTCCGTGGAGCCAGCTAATTCTTCTTTACTGCCCTGGCCCCCTTATGCGCTAATACAGCCTTGCCTGGCTCAGGTACATCTAGTACTCGGGTGAATTCTTTCCCTAGAGGGTAAAGGACCCATTTTTGGGGGGTCAGGTCCTGTAACACTCTGGCTTTGGGCTTCTCAAGGTGTGGGCTAGTGCTGCAGTCCACATAAATGCAGTTCAGACTGCTTGTAGGCTAGTTCAAGTGGAGGTTAGCAGGATTTAGTTTTTTGCAGGCTATTGATTGGCTTCCTCAGTTCCCCACCAAGTGACCTCTCCGCTGGGGTGCTTATATTATGGCAGCTGGTTTTTTGAAGCAACCAATTAGAGGGCAAGCAAGTCCTAGGTTCAGCTCACTTAAGGGAAGGGCTAATTTGTTAATTTCTTGCTTGTGTACCAATGCCTTTTCTCTACAGTTCACTTTGGGGAAAAAATGATTTTGGTACTCTGAGCTAGGTAGCTTAGTGTGTAAGAAGATCCATCCAGATTTGCAGTTTCCTATAAATATTGTGTTGGAAGGCCCTGTTTGTGATGGTTCTTTTTGGTAGTGATTTGAATTATGGGGCAGATGGTAAATTGGCATGTAATTGAGTATAATACTAGGTTACTGATTGGACTGGAATTTGACCAGAGGTCACCTGGTCTTGCTCACCATATATAAATAACTAATTGAAAATGCCTTTTAATTTTAGTTTCTCATAATGATCTGCATGGAACAAGCTGATTTTTCTATTTTTCTATTTCTGTTTTGTGTCCATAAAAGTATCACTATATATCTGAAATTTTTATCTAATTGTATAATTTATAGGTTTTCTACTTGTTTTTGTACTTAAATGAACAAAAATTTAGTAAAAACTATTTTTGAGAAATGAATGAATTTTCAAACATTCAAGACCCTAATGAGTTTTAATAGCAATACCAAAGAATGGCTTTACCATTCTTTTAGTGATATATACTATTTGCATTTCTGTGGCCATTGTGTCTTTGAAATTCATCTTTGGTGTTCTAAACCATTTAAAAACAAATCTAGTCTTTATTGATAAAACAGTATGAAGAAAATTTAAAGGTCAAAGAAGAGGAAATAAATATTTTCAATATTGTGGAATATAGACTCTTCCATCTTCTTGTAGTACTATATAGTTAATGGATATTATTAACAAAGAAAGCCTCAATCTACAACATCTTAAAAAAAAAATCAAACTAGAAAAACCAAATGAAGAATCATTTCACCTATATGGAATGAAGCTGGTGTTGTCAGTTCAGTAAGAAAACAGTTGTTCTCTGCTTATAGTAACATTGGGCCCCATGAGTTGGCAGGCAGACTGTGACCCTCAACAAGTAGGTATTTGCAATAGATGTAAATCACTGAATAGATCAAAATATATAAAATCTGTTTTGTGTCTAAAGACGTGTGTGCGCTCTCTCTCTCTGTCAAGTTAGCCTCTTTTTTTTTTTTTTTTTTAAGTCAGTAACTGGTGTTTTCTGCAGAAATACTGCATGTATTTTGCTCTGTTCCCAAAGGGAGCTTTGTATTTATTCATGGTAATAAAGATAAGTGACACTAACACACATTCCCATGATTTCAAAAATGCCTTTGATTAGAGCAGAATTGTGAAGCCATTTATCTTTAGCTTCCCTAGCCTTCCTGTTCTTCATTCTCTTCTGAGATTACTATTATCTTCATTTATGGCATGGTTGCGTGGCCCAGTTTATTGAAATGGTCCAGGACAGTATGCGAGGAACCAGGATCTGGAACCCAATGTCAGGATTTGGGAGGCACTGGGGCAACGGGGAGAACTGTTGATATTGGAAGGAAAATCATCCCCAAACCATTCGCGTTCCAGTTTGTGGTAGTAATGCTTCACTTGAGGTAGGTAGAGCTGATCAACACAGAATACGGGAGGCGGCAATGTATTTGTGAATTCCCATACAAGTTATGCTATCTTTATACTATGATTACCATTTGTCATTGCTAATATTTATTCAACTCTTGAGTTGTATATGTTCTTTCATTTAATTTGTGTGATAAAAATACACACAAGGAAACCTAAGCCATTAGAGGTTAATTCACATGCCCAAAGCCACATAGCTAGAAAGAGTCAAGGCTGAGTTTTTGTCTTTACTAGGTGTTGACTCTTTGAGTACCAGTTCTTTATTGCCTTTCTCTGTAACTTTATATCAGGGAAATATAAACTCGAGTAGTGAGGAGGATTCCATTCTCCTGGGCATGTGACAAGAGCAAAATGCATTCCTATTCCTGGAGCAACAGGATTCTGGAAAGGCTGGCTACCAGGCACTTTGGATAGCAAAAATGGATGGTGGAGACAGGCATCCTGTTAACAGAACTCAGAGCAGACAGTGTGATATAGAGAGTATTATTTATAACTTATTTCTGTCTGTAACTAGGATTGGACCCAGAGTTGGGGTGGGGTGAAGCTTCCAGTGTATATTTAGCTCCAGCTACTTGGAAAAGGCGGGTACAATGGGAGAGGATCGATTGATTGGAAGGGAGTCTTTTCTTGCTTGCCTTTTAAAAAAATCTAATAGGAAATGGTCTGAAAATGAAGACTGTGATCTTGATCATAACTTCATCAAGTCAATGGTCTGACCTGAAAATCAAGTCATATTGTAATAGAAACTTATGAAAAAAGTACTTGCATTTTACTAGAGATGAAAGCTAAAGAGAACGAAGCTCTATTTCAATACCAGCCAGCAGGTGGGGAGTTGGGTTTTTTTGGGGAGGGGGTATAGAGGTTGGGCAGTTAGTGGTGGCCTTCCTGGAAATTTTTTAGTCACATCCATTGCTCAAGCCATGGTTCAAGTCGTCAGCCAAATAATTTTACTATTTCAACACTAGCCAGCAGATTAGGAATTGCTGTGGGGGAGACTAAGGGTCGGGAATGGAGTTAGTTGCTGGCCTTCCTGGAAATTTTGAAATTACACCATTTGAGGTCAGTACCCTTCCCCCACCCCACTTGTAGTTGGATTCATTACTTAGTTAATTTTCTCTATAGAACATTTATGACTTCACTAGAAAGACCCCAGAAGCTCATTGTGATGCCATTGAAAGGCAGTTTGAAAATTCAGAGCAAATCGATGTAAAAAATAAGATCACTCTGGGGAAAAACAAGATTTTGTTTTCATGGGAATGTCCTTGGTGATAATGAAGGAAGGAAAACACAGGAAACATACAATATGCTGTGAAAGTAGATTCATTTATAATGGAATATTTCTCAATATTTTCCATGAAACATGAATCATAGGTCTTGAAGGGGGCCACAAAAGGTCATAGTTTAGTCTCTTTTGGAGGCAGCATTATACCTATGGCATCTTAGACAAAACATTTTATTCTTTCCTTGGCCAGATGAAATTGCATAAAAGAACTAATTGTTGGGGGAAAAAAGAATCTTAGCAATCAATGTGACTGAGTTCTTGCCTTTGCTTAAATTCAGGAACTAATACAGGGCAGCTGTGGTTCTCTCATTATTTTCATATCCTTGTCTGGGTTGAGGTGTTGGCAGGGCAGTGTTCCTTCCTGTCCATACATGTCATCTTTTTATCTGGGCCATTTCTCTGCTCCCTGTAAAATCCGCCAGCCAAAACAAATAGTGTGCTTCCTTTAGGGTCTCTCTGTCTCTTCTAGCTGCCCTCCTGAATCACTCCGGTCTATTCTGAGCTTTCTCTGAGTGCTTGGAAGAGCAGGTAGAGGTAGCACTACACGTAAAACAGTCTGGTTATATGTGTAAACCTTTCCTTAGCCCCTGTATTAGACTGTGAACGCCGTTGTGACAGGAAACACTATATTCTCCACCCTAGTTCAGCTACGCAGCCTGGTAAGAATAACTGGTTGAACCCTTGACTGACTCTGGCATTCCAATAGGCAGGAATGATGATTTTTCTTTTAAATGTTACTATTTTGCTGGGGGCTTAAGATGTTAAGTACTTTAATGGTGTTTGAAGTTTCTACACTTGATCTTAGCCAAAAGGCCAAGAAGCGATGTTTGTTTGAAGTTTCTGTACAACTTTCGAATTTCTGATATTGTTGGTAATTAGAAACAAATCCGTTTCCTTTAAA